TATCTATTTTTAGGTGTTCGTTTGGCTTTGTTTCAATGGAAATTGTCAACTAAAATGAAACATTTTTTTACAATAAATCTTAGAATTTATTTCCATTACCCAAAAAATAAATAAAAGTCAAAAAAATAAAATAAAATAAAATAAACAAAATGCTACAGTAACATTATATTCTAATTCTCACCATTTTAGTGAGAATTGGTTTTCCTTAAAAACCAAGAGAAGATCAATTCCCGAGACAAGCAAAAAAAAGCAATTACATGGAAATAAAACCCTATCAAACACCATAAAGTTGGAAAATGAAATTTTATTTTCATTTTTCATGGAAAATTTTGGTGTTTCAAACACACTCTAAGAATAATTTTAATACATTGATTTATTGAATTCTGCCGTTGAAATAACTAAAAAGTCACTATTTTACTTGACATAATTGAATTCCTTAATTCCTTGGTAGGTTAGACTTCAACCCATACAAGGCATTGTTTTCTTTACAAATTTGCAAGAGAAGTTAGCAATAATGCATTGTCTTCTCCGTAAACTTTTAAGAAAAGTTAGCGATAGGGGTTTTCTTCCTTTTTCATATGTGCTCAAAATCATGATCATCTCGACTTTAAATTTGACCTTATCTTCTTGCTTACTCTTAATTAGTCTTCTCACGATAACCTACTTTGCCCCTTCGAATATATGAACCCCTAACAACACTTTGTTTTAAGATATTTAAAATTTTCATATGGCATATTTAATAGTAATCTCATTAAAATATTTTTTACATTTTCCGTGCATGGTATTCTTACATGATCCAAAAACTCGGTTCGATCCATGTAAGATCATACATAAATTTACCCATTTTGAGAATTTAAGTCTTAGTGCTTGTTGGGTGATGCAATGATCTCTATAGAATATATTTCTAATAAACGATATTAAATTGTGGATCTTATGAAATATGTAAATTAAAAATGTTTTTTGCCCAAATAAAATTAAAAGTTAAGCGTTGCATAGCAAATGTTTAGTATCATTATAATATAAAACTGTCTTTTTTAAACTTATTTTCAACCATATATTTTATGAAATCCACAACTTTTGTCAACTTTCAACACACATTTTATCAGCTTTTATCAATATTTACTAAAATTCTAATTTTTAGCCCCTGATTGACATACATTAAATTAAAAAAAAATTTAAAACTTATTTTAAACAACATTCACACAATAAAATATTTTGCATGCAATCTCAAAAAAATTTCCCACTATTTAAGCACATATCTCCAAAAAATCACCATTCAAAATCCCATTTCGCCAAAAAATTCCTTAAAATAGATGTCAAACAAGGGCTTAGTTAAATCAAATATAGGGCCTATTTGGGCCCAATTTTTTCACCCAAAAAATTGATTTTTTGATCGTTATTTCACTATTTCAACCATCATATTTGACTTCTTCTCTCACAGGTGAACTCCACTTTTTTCCTAACGGTCAAAAAATCAATTCTCAAAATCACTCCCAAACAGACTCATAAGTTTAATAACACGTGTCAGTTACTTGTAAAAAATGAAAAAGAAAAAGAAAATTCCCCCATTAAATCGAACTGCACACGACTGTTTGATCTTCCTGGTAAAGACTTGTCAAAAAGTCAGCAACTACTTAGAAAAGGCTGCTGCTACATACAAAAATCAGCGTAAAAAATCTGACTCCCCATAGAAGTAAATTTGAAGTCCAATACTACAAAATGAATAAACTCTAATTATAACAACAAAGCAAATGAGAATAAATTTGACTTCAAAACCTAATAATCTCTGTCTAAATTCAGTTAATTGACCATTCCATTTATATTCTAGTATTATGGTCTAAATGAATACCTGAATTCATTGCTCACGGATGGGGTTCTACAGCAGAATCTGCTAAGTAGTCATTTTATTTTCAGTCATAAGTGTTGGAAATCTACTTATACATGTACAGCGGAATTTAAAATAATTTTCGATTCCCACCAAGAATCGTCTTTGTGTTTAGATAGAAATTGTGATAAGATTGTACCTTTTTCAGATTTGCAAACTTCTTCGCTTTTCTTTTAGTTCCATCAACCTTGATTTGCCACCACAGTTGTCCAATTGTCCAACCTCCAACGGTGATCCACACAGAGAATAAGGTTGCAGCTTCTAAGGTTTTCTCTTGTGTCAGCAAGAATAATGAAAATCATATGGATCTCAAACCCTAATTATGTATTTATATAAACCCAAACAGGTTCGGCCCGGTCCATTCCAATAATTAATTAATCCAATTAATTAAACCCGGTCCGTAAATTAATTAATCCAATTAATTAATTCGAAAATATAAATAACAAATCCAATTAATTAATTTATCCAACGATTGTTAAATTAACCAATTGGTAATTTGCAATCTTCCAATTCTCTTTTGTGTATGACTCATTAGGTTCCCGACCACGATATCTAACGACGTGAAATATTATTTTGATCTAATCAAAATTGATAAATTAAAACACCCTTTTAATTTATCGTCAATTCACATTCGCCGTTCCTAATTGACATCTAGCAATGTGTCAGGACAATACATGTGACGGAAAATGTCACGTGGTATGACAAAACCAAATTCGTTCGTTTACCGTGAAACTATAATCCCTTCGTCAATATGATCTGATCAATTACGAGATATGAAATTGTGTCAATCTCGATCATCGATCATATCTTTCACTCCACTATTAAGTCAATATAAGTCGAAAAATCCTTTTCGACTTATGAGTATACCTTGACCAAGGATTTTATCATCGACTTAATTGAATGAAACGCAGATCATAATCTCCTACTATCTAAGAGTGACGAATCCTATATTGATCAATCACAACCTTCATACGATTATTGACGTACCCGAACGATGTCGTATTAGCG